AGATAGTGAACAAACCACTGGGCCACTTTCCCTCTCTTGTACTTGACAACCCACTCTCTGGAGACGGCGTCCTCTGGAGGCCATGCGAGAATGGCATTGACCACAGTCGAGATTCTTCTCCGGACAGGAATGACTCCGACAACATAAGTGCCTACGAAGACGCCTGCGCTGAGACTCCAGATCAGGACAGGGTCTTTCCCAGTGATGGAGACACCGTGGATCTGCCTGACGACGTCTGTCAGGAAGAAGCTTCAAGAAACCCTGATGCATGCGTTGTTTCTTAGCTTCTGAGGGTTACGATGATAAGCAGGGGAAGGGACGACAGAGACAATTATGTCTGATTATTCAATAATATCAAAGTTCTATCTATGATAGGTCGACGATCTAAAGATATCAAAGAGAGAATCAATTTTGAATATTTATTTCATTTTTGCCACATTTCTAACCAAATCCTCTAACCTTAGAAAATAGTGCTGGTCATTTTCTAATATTTTGGGAATTTATCAAATTGATTGTAGACCAATCAATTAATCCAAAATAATTTGCTGTTAATGATAATAGATTTAGTCAGCAGTGTTAGAGGTAGAAAAATCAGTTTGAGGTTGTGAAAACAGGATAAGCAACGCCTCGATTTCCTGCAGGGGGTGCTGTAAACACAGCTGCTTTGCTTTGTTCCTTTAGTCGAGTCCACTGTTACACTTTGCTCTGTTCCTTTAGTCGAGTCCACTGTTACAATACTTTATAAGTGTTTTGAACCAATTCAATCAATTCAATTCAATTTGGTCAAAACTTTTACCACTAGAACGAGTGACAGGTTTATCTTCCCAACCTGAGTCACTGCTCACTGTTAGAAGTGCACTGTAATGACAAACCACTACGGAGCTGAGCATCTGCTGTCCTGTTGAGCTGTACGATTCTGATAAAATAATCATTTTACCTCAAATTCAATCATTACAGTGACATTCTCCTTATACTGATAAACCACCTACTGGTCAAAGATGAAGTAAATACAAAACAGGGAACGAGCAGAGGTAGTGCAGATGAAGATGCCACCATACACTTCTAGTTACTCAAGGACAGAGGCTTAAACTCTGTACAATTCACTAGTTTACTTTTCTTAGAAGGTTTCTACTTACGCTACCTACAGATGGTCAAATGCTACATGCAGTATTTCAACAAATACTTCTTCTGCAATTCTGTTTGAAGATGTTGAAAAATACTGCTGCCTTCATGTTTTACTTCTTAGATAATTATTTCAGTAAGTTTGTGAAGTAAAAGCTGGTACATATGACATATTTGTACTTCTTCCTCTCCTTTTTTAATATTCAGTGATTATCATTTGTCTGTTGATGCACTTTCCTAAAGTCAGGTCATGTGGAGAGGTGACCTTTCAAACAGCATTCCCTTTATGCCCGCGTACGTCAGCCACCGGTGAGCAGCTGACTCGCCCCGAGGCTGTGTTCTCCGACTGCATGCCTTCTGTGTGTTTGCACATTTGCAGTGAAACCTGCTGATCTTAGTGTCTTAAGGAGTCTTAAACTTGTGTACACACTTTAATTACTGTTTCGTATGAATGTCTGCTGCAGTGTTACTTAGTTCCTGCAGAAGACGTTTGATGGATCTTCTCACCTCATCTGGGACTGTTGGCTGAAGCAACAGAAAACTTCTGTTGTTGTTACACAGTACTTCTGCATGCAGTAGTGTCACAGACATGCAGTATATGTTATAGTTTAAGAAGTGTTTTTAAAGGGATTTACTTTGTGTGTAAAAGGTTAACTTTGACTTAAATACTCTGTTTTTTTTCCAACATCAGATTTTGTCTNNTCAGGTGAAGTCTGCTTTCCTGCATTTCACGTCAGTGCTGTCTTTGTCTTACTTTACTGTACACCTCACAGTTTCTTCTTCTATCATCCATAAAAGTTGAAACACGTTTGACTTTAATCTTGTTGTAAAATTCCAAGCATCAGGTAATTTCATCTTCCTCTCAATCAAAGATTTCAGCAGAAATCAGTGACATTTTGATATTAACTAATCAACACATGTTGTGACAGTCAAAGAAAAAATCATGCTGTCTGTTCTTCAGGTTCATTTGTTACCTTTAATGACGAGCTTTTGTACTTGATATCATTTTTCACACATCAAAAATAAAATGAAACTACTGATGCTGGTGTGTGCTGATTCTTAAGACCTACGGATATAGAACAGTGCTTAACTTATGGCTACGGCTATTATATTAATCTAAATGTAAATTAGCTCCAAAAATGGTTCAGTAGCACTTGTTGTTTTAGGCGCTTGAGGAGTTGTTCAAACTACGGTTAATTTACAGTAATTTCTACATTGTAAAGATTGTAAAATTGTCAAGGTGATGACAGAGGATTCATTTCTGTATTAAAATAATTATTTTAAATGACAAAACCGCACACAAAGTCCAACAAAATGACGGACGCGACTCTTCTAGACAAAACGGAGCTCTCGGTGGATGCTCGTTTTCTACACCTGTTACAGTTGACCTGCTAAATAAGACGCTGACGGGTCACTGTTTGGCTGTTACCACAAGAGGGCAGACTGAAGTTAGTTTAACCTAAAGAAGAGAAAGCGTCGATTTTCATTTATTCAAATAGATTAAAAACACAGTCCTGATGACTTGGTCCGTAAAGAAATGCAGCGTCGCTGTCTCTTTAATCTATTAATAACATATGAGCTCAGTGTTTTTGTGAGAAAAGATCCATGAGACGTAAAATAACAAGTTCACACACTACATATTTAATACAAACGAGTAGAGGATCAGAACTAGAAGAACATTGGCAAAGTAACAGAAAACTTGTACCATCCTTCAAACAGCTAAAATACTTCTATGACATCTGGTAAACACACACCATGTGAATGGGAGAGATCAGAGTAGAATTAAAATAATAAAAAAAGAAGACACAAATCAAAACAAACCCTTTTCTTTCTTCATGTTCAGCTGTTTCCACCGTGGCAGATTCACAAAGTCATCTTTGCTGATCCCAAATACACTGTTGAAATCCGAGTCTGACAGATAATCCTTAAACACAGTAAAGCAACGGTCAAGGTACAGAAGGGAGACAGGTAACAGGTAACAGAGTCACTGTCCTGACAGGTCAGGGCACGAGTCATTCCACTTAGGTAAGCGAGCGTTTCTGTATTTCTTAGCAAAAGCCTTTTGTCTTTGTGAAAAATGATTGTCCTCTGGACAATATTTCTAGGGTTTTCACCAACTTGGAGTTTTTTTTCTGTAACACTTCTAGCACCTCTTGTAACTAGTAATTATTTAGATAATAATAATAATAATAATAATAATAATAATAATAATAATAATACAAACCTCTTTCTGGGCTGGATCCACACCTTCAGGCAGCTCATCCACAGCCTTGTTGATCAGGTCCTCAGGTGGAAACGACTGTGAGATTTCCTCCTTTTCAACAGGCTGTTGTTCCTTGAGAAATGAAGCAGGGCATTAAATCGTAGGTTAAAATGGATATTACCCCTACACTGTTGTAGAATCATGCAAATGTCATTGAATTGTACTCTTAAATTAGTCTTTATACAACTGTTTACGTTGTAAATGTTTACATTTACGACTGTGACGGGAACAGGTAACACTGAATCTCCCAACTCCTTCTTCAGCTCTTCGTAGCTCTTTCCTCCCTGCAAAAAATAAAATAACAATAATAATAATGAAAAAAAAATCCACAGTGTCACTTTTTTTTTTTTTTAAACTAAAACACCAAAGAACTCACAAAACATTTGGCCGAATCCCAGGCTATGAACCAACCAGTGAAGGTGGGTGGTTCGAAGCCCTGCTTGACCAGGATGATGGGTGTGTCTTGGTCTCTGTTGCCCGGGTGAGTGCGTAGATACTCCTGACATGTGACCACAGCTTCTTTGCGTTCGACCTCATTTGCCTCTTTGCCAATCCAGAGGAACAACTGCAAAAAAAAAACGTACTTCTAAGGCAAAGTTATACTGAGATAGATGAACTAACATGAGAACATAGCACCCATCTGTAAGGATGTGAGAGGACGGTACCCATACCATAAAAAAGGGGGGTGTCAAACATACGGCATGCGGGCCAAAACTGGCTCATAAGGAAGTTCAATCTGGCCCATTTGAAGATTTTCTCATTATTATGTTAATTATGTTATGATTGTACTGGTCTGGCCCACTAGACATCCAACTAGGCTGTATGTGACCCCTGAACCCAAATGAACTTTGACACCCCTGACCTAGAAGGTTAGTCTCACAAACAGCGTCACCTCATACCTGGTCCCACGTGTCCAGCAACATGACATCGTCTTCACTGAGGTCATCCTGGGTGAACTGAGTGACCTCCGTCACGATGAAGCGGCCCGTCTTATTGGAGCATTCAAACAGGCGTGGCTGGTGGTCCGGAGCGGTCTGCTGTAGTCTGCAGAGAATCACAGGGGGAAACAAGTGGGTTCCTCAGAACTGGGCCACACGTGGAGTCTATTTGTAGATCTTTGATTTGGTGTTTAGCTTCATTACCGCTTATCACTCGCATATGGAGCTTTGCCTCCAAGCAATTCCCAGAATTCAATGGGTTCCTGACCCTCTGCCACAGTTTCCTCCGACAGATTCTGACCAATCACGGCACTGACCTCCTTGGCCATAGCCCTCTCATCTCCGCTTGATCCCTGGTAGATGTAAAATATATAGAATTATGATTTTTTTTCCTGGCATATTTTACATCAACAATGAAATGTTTTTGGAAATATTTTAAGGGTTTAAACACCCGTATGTTTTCACTGTAAAGGCTCAGTGTCAAAGATTTATTTATTTTGTTTCTTTCTTCCATGAAACACTAAAGTCTTTGGCCAAGTGTGTGTGTAAAAGTATTCAGTGATGGATTTAGTGATTAAAATATAAACAGCATTTTACTGAGAACTCAAATATCTGGGATGTATTTGAGATAACGTTTTGTGTTTGAGGACAAACTGTTAGCTTCATTAGACAGCAAAGAAAAGTAGCTGTGGTGTCCACAAACGTGTGGGGCAAGAAGAACGCTGCATAAATGTTACATTCATATCCATCCTAACTGTGTCTTGTATCCACCCCAGCCGTGTTACCTTTCCACACCACAGGTAAATCCCTGTTTGGCTCTTCAGTAAAAACACGTCGTTGGAGTTCAGGCAGGAGGACAGGGCTGAAACCTCAATGGCTTTCGTCTTGGACGGATCTGATCCTTGGACCTGGAACAGTCTGATCGGAGGCTCTGGGTCAGAGGCTTCTTTCCTGGATGTGCCTCCCTGGAAACGGGTCAAAGGTCAAGATCAACCCTGCACATACGAAAACCTACAAAGACATTACAGAGAATCCCGTCCTGGGATCATACCTCGAAGATGACCATTTTACCCTTGAACATTGCCATGAAATGTCTGGGTTCTTTGCCCATGGTCACTCTCACTTGGACGGGTTCACCACCGTACTTGTCATCTAAGGCCACAGCCTGAAAAGCCGAGGCCGCCACTTCGTCCTGTGACGCATGACGGCCCTGAATGAACGAATGAATGACAGGTTAAACGTTCTTTTATCATCAAAGAAAAACCTTCAAAGCATCAACGTTGTGTGTTGTGACAGACATTTGAACACAGGTTGAATTACATTTGATTTGCAAACACTTTAAACAAATGAGGTTCTTTTAGCAGCAGGGTTTCCTTCACACGATATCTATTTCCTGTAACTTTCAACTCAAACATTCATGTAATCAAATCAAGGAAGACCAAAAATTGTGCGTTACAGTTACGTTATGTCAAATGTTATATGTCAAACTCAGTGTACTCAAATTAATGTCAAACTCAGTGTACTCAGAAACTTCAAATATGCAGTGGTACTGTAATGGACGTTGGTCATCTGGAAAAAAAATTTTAAATTTAATTTATTAAAACAATTTGCATGTGCACTGCAGAATATCACATGTATTCACAGATGACTCCAAATAAATATAGTAACAAGAAAACATATGCTGACATTCCCAGCCCTGATTATAACATTTATAAATGAACAGTGTTTCCACAGCTGGTACTCACCTGCCATATGTACAGAATGTAACACTGCTTGCTGCTGACTGCATAGGTGTACAAGATCAAGTAGCAGTCGCCTCCGTAGAAGTATCCGTACGACTCTGGCTCCACAGGGACCAGCTCCAGATTCTCAATTCTCCACACCTGCACACAGTTAAAGGGTAGATTAGCAGTGACCCACATCAGTGTCAACACTCTCCCCAGTCTGTGCCACAGAAGCCCGGACGCCTTCAACTGATTATTTGAGCTTTGGAGTGTTGTTGTTTTTTTTGTATTTTTAACATATTTGAAACTAAGAATCTGAGCTGTAAAACTACAGGATCAGAAATGAGCTGGAACTCAGAGTGAATTATTTGTCATTGTGACACGGCACACCACTGCACACAACCAAATGTGACCTCTGGGGGGCAGCTTTAAGCGCCCGGGGAGCAGTGTGTGTGGACGGTGCCGTGCTCAGAGCACCTCAGTGGTAACTTGGCAGCTGGTGGACTCGAACCTGAAACCCAAGTCGGCCTCCTCAACCACTAAGCCACCACTGCCCCTGGTGATAAAGTACTAGCTCCAATGGGACTGTGTGGCTGTATTTGCCTCCTGTATTGAGCAGGTGTAATGCCCCCTGCAGGTGTAATGCCCTGTTACCTCTACTTGACCTGTGCCGTTGTCCACCATCCGCTCCTGTGCCGCGATTTCCGGCATAACATGCATCAGTGAGGCGTCAAATTTCTCCTGTGAGATGTGAGCTACGAGGAAACTCAACAGAGTCAAAACCAGCGACAAACATGAATAGAAATACAGAAACCAGTCAATTTTCAAACATCACATACCAATTTTCCCTTTGGTGTGTATTTTGCCCAGACCCTGAGTCTGGTCTTTAACGGTCCAAGTCTGGAACAGCTGCTTGAAAAGTGCCGACTCGGCGCCGTCATTCACCGTCTCCACGTTTGTAGAGCTGTGATAGTCCTTGGTTTTTATGAATTCCTGTAACAGCAAGTCAAATAAAGACGTGCACTGAATATGTCACAGGTCGTTCAACGACGGCAAAGTCAACATGAAAGAGTCCTTCACCAAAGCCCTGGTCATCGCAGCCTGTTTCTCAGCTTTGTCAGCTTTTTTTCCCTTCCACACGAAGATCTTCGTCCCTCCTTGGTCCAAAATGTAACAGTCCTTAAATAAAAAAAAACCCAACTGTCATTTGATTGAAATAAATACAATATAGTGTAGGATTACCTGCCTAATTATCGATAGGCGTTAAAAATAAGAATTGACTTTTAATAGTAATTATATGTTTGGTCAATATATTTATGTGGAGAAATGTACAGCTTATTATCTGTCAAAAGTCTCAGCTCACATCATGGTTGAGGAGGTCCTGGACCAGTGGTCTGCTGGCAACCTCGGTGACCTTCATCTGGCCGTCAGCATCAGACACACTGAGACAGGGTTACAATAGAACAGAGCAAAATGAAACAGAGCTGGAACGTATTCCTTCTGTGACGCTGCAGAATATTTTAGTGAAAAAACAAACGTGTGGCGTCTACTGTAGACATGTGAGCAACGCACTCATTTTAGTGAAAAAAAAAAAAACTAAAACTGGCATCTACTGTAGACATGTGAGCAACGCACTGATACAGGGTGAGTTGGGCCTTCTGTTCCTGGTCAGCAGATTCATCAGGCGGCCCGTCGGTCAGGTCACATGTTCTCTCTCCGAGAGCGTTGTTTAGGAAGCTCATGATCTGGGGGGAGCTGCTCTCGTCTTCACCCTCAACAACTCTGATCTCTGCCCGACCTCCTCTCTCTCGGTCTCGGATGTCTTTGGCCAACAACATGCCCTGAGCAGCCGGAGGCAGAACACAAAGAAGAATCTTCACTTGATCTGATTCATCAGGAATGAACTAATTCAAGGGGTTTTTTTTAGAAATTAAATCAAGCCTGGCAGTGTTCACATAACTGAACATTTCACCAAACACCAAAACCATCTTCATACCTACAGACAATGACCTACAGTACCTGCTGTGGTCTCTTGACCTTCTGACCTATTTTCACAAACTTCCCTTCAAACCTACAGGTACCTGCATTTCCACATATCTATCTACTTACCTCATAAGTAATTGCCTTCCCACCTACTAACCCTCATCACTCACCTACCTTAACTTTTTTTTATAACTTGTCTTTATTTGTCATTTGTGACTTAGCACAGCACACCATGCTGTGAAATTTAACCTCTGCATTTAACCCATCACCAAGTGAACAGTGGGCAGCCATGGTCGGCGCCCGGGGCCGCTTGAGGACGATGCCATGCTCAGTGCATCTCAGTGGTAACCTGGCAGTTGGTGGATTCGAACCTGGGGCCTTCCGGACCGAAGTCCGCTTCTTTTACCACTAGGGAAAACCATTGCAGTGCCACCATTGCAACCACCATGGCAGTGGTGGCCACCCGGCCCCCACCGCGTGCGCCTTCTTACCAACCCACAAGTTAGAAAGACTCCTGAGGAACTACAGACAGATGAGTGTCTTCAGTCTCACTTTAAGTTTTTCCTGTTTGTTACACTTCGGTCCGTTCCACTGAATGATGGTTTTCCCAACGTCCAACAAAAACACATCTCCGAGGTTGAAGCTGTTCCAGCTCATCTCCACCTGAAACAAATCAACACAAAGACGTTCTGTTCTCTACAGGACTTCCTGTCGTACCATCCACACCAACAGAAACGGCGTGAAGCGTGCCTCACCTCCCGGGCTGTCACTCTTTTATTCCCTTTGACGTGAAGCAGCCTGCTGACATCGTAGTTGTTGGTTTCTGTGTGCTTCATCCCGGATGCAACACCACCTTTTTTATAGCTAGAAAATCAGGTTTATTCATTTTTAACATTTATTTTTGATGACTGTTTTATCAAAAAGCCCTCTTGGTCAACACTTTCTCTCACATTACTCCCTGTTTGAAGTATCCTCTGAAAGCATCAGACTCATGGTTCTGAACCTCACGGTGTTGCACAGGAGCGCAGCCCAGGAACTCGTCGAGCTGGATGGTGTAAACAGCTGCTGCACCCTGTTCGTCTTGCGAGGACTCAGAGCCGATCCAGTAGTGGATGTCGTAGGACAATGAACTGCTCACCTTCTGGGTCTGGAGAGGGGACAGTTGAAGGGAAAGGTCAGTGTGTGGACGAGTGTAAGGATGAAAAGATCAGATGTGAGTCAACAACTTACCGACAGAAGTACGTAGCAGTCGCCGTCATAAAAGTGTCCATGGGATTTCTCTGGAATTTGAACCAGCTCCATTTTCTTTAGCATAAAAAACGAGGAAGAAAAGAAAAACAACCAAAAAGAGAGAGAGGAGTAAAAATGTAATAATATAATAATAATAATAACAGTAAAGATCCTTATTTACCCATAAACAGAGCGACTTGTTAAAAATGATTACAGAAAAATCCCATTACCTCAATTCTCCAGATTATAATCCCAGGGTTGTGAGTTACTGCTTTAAACGTAGCGTCCATGTTTGCTTCAATCAACTGTGTGTTACCACCACCTGAGCACCGTTACTGTAATGTTCTCCTTTCTGGGGAAGAGGAAGAGAAGATTGAAAATGAGAAGTTCAAAGCTGAAATTGCTCTCTGCATAATTGGCAGAATATCAAACGTTACTTAAACCAACAACATCAAATCAGTCTGAAGTTCTAGTTCCATCGGTGGCAGAACTTACCCAAGTGGGTTTGGTGTCGGGTGCGATGATATTCCGACAGCTGATTTTGCTGTGTGATGAGAACATGCTCCCCTCGCTGAACCTCACATTTGTTTTATGTTTGCATGTTTCAGGAGCTTTCACACTGCACTGCCCAATCACTGAGGACACTGACAATCCTGCAAACAAATGAGCTGAAAAAAGAATCGTCTCATATTCAAACACACGCACACACACTCACTCTGTCACCAGTTCACTGATTGGCTGATTGTACACTGCGGTACAATGTGGGATAACGAGCGATGACGTGACCTCATAAAGGTGAAATTCCTATCCATCCATCTAAAACCCATTTCATCCTTCATCTCTCATCTCTCCAGCTTTTCCGTCTCCTGCTCCCTAAGAGATTACAATGTCTCTGTCCAGCAGTAGTTTGTCAAACTGACCATTATCCTTTTCTTCTTCTTCTTTGGGCTGTACCCCAAGAGGTCACCAAAGTGGATCATCTGCCTCCACCTCACCCTGTCTCACTTCATCTAATAACTTTCTACCAGGTCTTCCTTTTCTATTCCTCTCTTCTCTGGCTGTTCAATCTCCAACAGGCTTTACAGTTTTCTCCCTTCAGAAAATGTCCAAACCAAACTCTTTACTTTACCTCTTTAACTTTATCTCCAATCTGCTGCGCCTCAACTCCCTCCTCTAATCTGCTCATTTCTAATCCTGTCCATCCTGGTCACTCTGAGTGGAAATCTCATAATTATTATCAATAAAAACTGTGATTAAAAAAAAACATTCTTAGTCAAACAAAGTCATGGATTTATTCAGTTACTTTAGCATCAACGCACCATTGTGTTCAGTGTGTGCTGCATATTTAGAACTAACTGGAAAAACACAGCAGCTAAACACAGAGAGAGAGAAGGAAAATTTGTCCAAACTTGTTCAGATCCTTCAGAGCACAGTGGTGTTTAAAGTCAGCACAGTTTAAACACTGTTTCCCATTTCCCCACGTACCTGGCACTCAACAAACCAACTACTGTTTTTACGCCTTAGACACGGTTACGAAACACGCCCTGTGCCCAGGATTAGCTCGGAAACACGCGCTGTAATAAAACTGCGGCGATAAACACTTCATTAATTTAACTCGAAAAAATAAACTTTTCACATGTGGTTTTGTATTCATTGCGAATAGCACACTTTATAAAGTGTAATTACTGCTCAAAGACTGTTTCAAAGAGGTTTGAAACATACACACAAAATAAATCAATACGTGAAAACATGAATACAACACAAACTTAGTTTAATATGGATGAAAAACTAATGGTGAATCCTGGGCTAATTTGTTAAAGCCACAGAGCTAATGCTAACGTGTTTACTGAACTTTATGTCAGTGTTTTTTTTTTTGAGAACTTTTCGTGCTCACTTAAAACTTAAATTGAAAAAACATTTACTTGAGCCAAAATGTCTGCTTTCAGAAGTAAGGAACGTACACAATATTTAAATTACATTAGTAAAAGATATCAAGCCATTTATGTTTTATGTGTGTGTCAAAACATACACCAGGTATGAACTGTGTGGCTACGGCCTAAGGAAAACAACTTATTTTATATTCAAATATTTTCTGAATTTTGTGAAACCATTTTCTTTACTAATTTTGCTAATGAACATAAAAAGAAGCCATGAAGCAACGGATTAGCCTCTTAGCCATGACTTAGCCATTTATGTTTTATGTGTGTGTCAAAACATACACCAGGTATGAACTGTGTGGCTACGGCCTAAGGAAAACAACTTATTTTATATTCAAATATTTTCTGAATTTTGTGAAACCATTTTCTTTACTAATTTTGCTAATGAACATAAAAAGAAGCCATGAAGCAACGGAATAAAGTGTTGTGGTCAGAAGAGTCCAGATTCACCGTAGTCTAAGATGATGTAAGAACCAGAGTATGAAGACAGGGAGATGGAATGATTACCCAGCATGCCTAGTGTCTACTGTACATGTCTGCGGAGGCAGTTAGTCCGGTCTGGAATCAGCAACATTTTGTTCCCATGAAATGAGGTCAGCAGGCCACCTCCAAAACTGAATGAGCAGGTTTTTCCATTAGTGGATTTTTTTTTTTTTTTTAACTCGAGGACACAAAGTATATTCAGAGAAGAAAATGTCTGGTTCCTTCCTGTGACAGAGAGGATCTAGGAAGACCAGTCACTTTTTGGCAGACAGAGATAAAGTGTATTAAAACAGTTAAAAACAGACCAAACCCAGGACAGAGATGAAATGTATTAAAACAGTTAAAAACAGACCAAGTCAAGTCTTGATTGTTGTTCTTTTTACAAAATTGTATTTAAAAAAAATACAGGTAAACATTTTTTTTAATTTAACAATATTGTATTATATATCATTTTCATATGTATGACATACACGTCGTGAGGCTACACATTTCCCTTGAGGTGTGAGGAGTAAAGAATATTATAAAAAGTGCAAACACATTAATATTTACAATAAAAAAAAAATACAGGTAGAAAGTAAAACATGGACTGTCTCATCTCCACAGACTCCGAGTGTTCCCACATCTCGTCCAGATGGTTGTAGCTCCGCCCAGGCAGCTTAGTAAAACATTCCAGCCCACCTCTGGGACTCTGCTGGCTCCTCCACATGCTGCCACTGAACGCCAGTCAAGATTTCACAGAGAGAGACCGGAGAGACTGACACAAAATGAGAGGACTTGTTGTCTTGGCAACTTTGGCCTGCTTTGCCAGCGCCCAGCACCAAGCACTGATTGACTATTTAGAGCGGAGGCTGCTTGCTATTGAGGTAAGACTCCTTCACCTCCTCCTTTACCGTCCTGCTGAGCCCTGTGCTCCAGTCCCTGTGAGGGGAAACTTTGAGGGACAGGGCAAAGGCAATGGAATGCAGATGTGGGCAAATCCTGGGGAATATTCCGGAAAATGCAACACTCTGAAATATACAGTGATCGTGAGCCTCTTTTATCTGTTGAGACGCTGAACTACAAGTGCGTGTGTGTGTGTATACTGTATCAGTGTTTAATGTCAGATCAGTATTTGCTCAGAGTTGCTTTATTAAATCAAATTTGGTTTATTCTTTAACCAAAGCCCAGGTGTTACCTTGAGATCCCAAAATACTTCTCTTTGCTGTCATCAGCAATAAAAGTGCACCATCAGCACATGAGAAATTAATCATTTCATTCATTCTTTAAATGTAATTCAAGGAACTGAATCAAAGGAACTGCTCATTCAGTTCACAAAATCATATCAAATCAAAGCTTTAAACACACATGTACAATATGACCTGAACCCCTCCCCATGTCTCAGCCTTCTCCACGGAGGTCAAAGGTTGAGGTCTGTTGATGTTCACAAACGTCTGTGAGGATGTTTTCCTCCAAGTCATTTGAGCAGGGAGGATACTTGCCACGTGTAGCTGAACCTGCTCATTTGATGGATGACTTCCCTACTCATTATGTCCCTCAGTACCAGTCTATTCACTCAGAGCAACATACAATTATGGCCTTTTCATCTCCTTTCTGGAAATCCACTCCTGGAACCAGGGCCGTCTCTCTCTGCCTGTGCTCAGATACAGATGAAACTAATCACTGTTGTTAAAAACAGGACCGGATCTCTCTATGGCAAGAACAGACGGCCCGTTATGCCTCCGAGCTGCGGGAGCTGAAGCAACAAATGGTCGCCCAGCTGGAGAGCTTGGACAAAGAGAAGGAGTCCCTGAGAGGCAGCCTGGACAGTGTGGGCACCAGGGTGGACCGGGTGGAGCGTGAGCTGGACTATCTAGAGACTCAGAACGGGGCGCAGCCGTGTGTGGACGTGGATGACAAGCTGATCGAGCAGCAGGTGACGGTGGTGATGGAGAAGCAGAAGACAAAGTATTTTAAACTGTCAGGTGAGAGACAACGGTGCAAAAGAACACCTGCAGTAACAGAGTAAGAAGAGTTGACTGTGTACTAGGAGAGTAAAGTAGAGTAAAGTAAAGTAAAGTAAAGTAAAGTGCAGGTCCAGAACTAAAAAAATGCAAATGTTTTGACAGGAGGTGAAAATGAACCATCATCTGATTGACTTATGAGATCATTGCAGTAATAAGCTCTTGGCTTGAGGTTTGTTGCCTACTTTAAAACTGCTTTTGAGATTATTATGATGACTGAGAATATCCACAAATAAGATCTTGGCTTAACCCAGAATCACCAGCCAATGACGGCAACAGGAAGTCATGAAAACGTTAAGGAGAAATGTTTAAAAAAAGAAAAGAAAACAATAGGCAGATTTTAGGCATCAGTCGTATAAAAGCAGAGAGTTATTACTTCTCGTTACTACGTTCAGCAGAGGAGGATCAACATTATCAAACATGTGGTTCCTCTTTCATGTCTCTCCATAAATGAGATAAGATAAGACTTTATTCATCCCACACCGGGGAAACTGAGTCGTTACAGCAGCAGGATAGACATGCAGTAGTAAAAGTAACAGCAGTATTGACAAGGTGAGCTACAAATATCAAAGGTACCATTTCCAGTAAAGTATAAAGCATTGTTTCCAAAAGACTGGGTCGCGAACCACAGGTGGGTCCTAAGAGATGTTTTTTTTCATGTTTCCAAGGAGTTTATGAATAATTCACGTTTCCCAGGATTTTATGAATAATGTCTATTGACTTGGGTCGCAAAGGTTTATGGGAAATAAAGATACTAAAGTTCTACAAAAACATAAAAATAAAAACAATCTGCAGTGCAGTAGTTACGTACAGGCTTGGTTTATGTAAGCTATATGAGTTAATGAATCTAATTTGTTGGTTGACCACAATAATATTATAGCTACAGCGTGTCTTCTGTCCAGACTGCAGCGACATGATCTCCAACATTAAAGCCATGAAGATTTTGAAAAGAGTTGGAGGACAAAAGGGCGTGTGGAGCAAAGACAGCAGCAGCAGCAGCAGCAGCACGGACGATGGAAAGGTCTACATATTCAACGGGACAGACGGCAACACCGTCCATGAGTTTTCATCACTGCAGGACTTCGCTCGCTCCCCGGGCCTGTCTCAGTCCAAGGCCCTGAAACTGCCGTCATCGTGGCGAGGAACAGGACATGTCATCTACAACCACCACGCGTATTACATCCACCAGGCTGAAGAGATCACGGTGAATAAATACGACCTGACGGACAACTCTGTGACGGACGTCGCCGTGTTCCCTGTCCAGGACCATGTCCCGGTGTACGGCCTTAACACCGAGACAGTGATGGACCTGGCTGTGGATGAAGAAGGTCTCTGGGCCATTTACGCCACGCAGCAGAACGAGAGGCACATTTCACTGGCCAAAATGGACACCAGCTCCCTGGACATAGAGCAGATGTGGGACACCAACTGTCCACGAGAGAACGCCGAGGCAGCCTTCGTCATCTGCGGCACTCTGTACGTGGTGTACAACACCATGCAACCTGGGCGCTCTCGTGTGCAGTGTGTGTTTGACGTCAACGACATGGTGACCACCGAGGATGCTCCTCTCGTTTACTTCCCGAAACGCTACGGGGCTCACTCTAGTCTGAAGTACAACCCAAAAGAGCAGCTGCTGTACGCCTGGGACGACGGCTACCAGATCCTGTACAAGCTCAGCATGAAGAAGAAGTTGGAAATATGAGCTCATCAGTACAAAACAAATGATTCTCTGAAAGAGCAGAATCATCCCACGAGCAGGACCACCCTGGTTTTAGAAGTTCTAGCTTTGTACAACTCATTTATACTTGATCAGAGCAGGCAAATTAATATGTTGTTACTGTTTAAGCAGCCATTAGTTTGTTTCTTTATATTCTAAAAACTCACAGTGACAACATGGATTGACATTTCATCCTACGATAATGCTAATCTATCATGTGCCGAGGACCGTCTGTTGCAGGAGTCCAGAACTACAGGATCATAAAGGTCCGACAGGACAGTCGACATTTGGTTTCCGTCCCATGGTTGTCTTGATGTAACCTCTGTAATAACACTGCACTGTCTCCATCCTTAGTTTTGTCGACTGATGGATCAACATGAGTAGGTTTTACTCTTTGACTCGACCTCTTGTCTCATAGTGAAAGACAAGCAACAGCTAGCTGGCTAGCACTTATAATATTTCTGTCTTGTGTGTTGATTTCAGACATTTTTTGTTGTGTTGAAACTAAACTGAATCATTTTAACAATCTAGTATATAAAACTGTATCAAACTATATTAATGAATTCAGTCTCTTTTCTATATGGAATACAGAGAAAACCAAACACGTTTAAGCCACTACTTAGCATTGGAGAATTTTGATTTTCTATTGTTGTTGTTCCTTGAATTTGACCTGACTTTGTCTGACTTGATGCATGATTGATGCGTGACTAATATTTTTTTTTCTACCTTCATAGTGTAATTTTTGGATCAAATTTAAATAAAGAATTAAACTGGCAGACCATTGGCTTGGTGTGATCTGAGCTGGGTTCTTTTTTCAGTTTCATCTGTCCTTTGTTCCACATTCTCTTATATTCTTCATGAAATAATGTCACTTTTGTGAAAAACAAGTCACCGACCCTCCTCAGGTAAGAAGTAATCTGGATCTTTTGGGGGTAAATATCCCTTTGAATTTACTTTTCAGAGGAGGAAAAAAAATCTGTTAAATAAAATATGTAAAATGTAACTAAATATTGGTAAAGACTTAGTATGTATATGATTTGATTTAAAAAAAAATCTCTTTAATAATGATCAAAACCCCGGTCTAAAATAAGGGTAAAAACACTTACGATGACAAGGATTTAGTAAAAAAAAAAAAAAATAACTTCTCAGCACAATAAAGTTTTCTTTGTTTTAATTAAACTTCATCAAAGTTTTCAAATTATCAATTTAACAAAGCAGGAATAACTGAACTGAAAACACGGCAACATCACCAGTCAGTTACTTGAACAACTTTATTTCTTTTTCTGAAACTGTATATAAAACTGTTTATACACTTGGATAAAATCTAGAATAAGAAATTTGCATATTTTTTTAAAAATGAAAACTTTAAATATTACAACTGTTTTGTACAAAAGTGAGGACTTCAGATTCTGACTGAACGGCAGTGTCAAGAACGTCTTCAACAACAGAAGGTGCAAACACTAACAGGTAGTGTGGTACCAAATTCTCTATTATCTTCCAAATAAAATCTAACTAAAACATCAGTCTCGTTCTCTGAGCGAGTAAACAACTGTTTATGTCATGACTTGTGTCGAGTCTCCACTTCACCTGGAACCTGCTGAGTCTGACAAAGCACTGGTCTCATTTTCTCATTCTTGCACTATCCCACAACTGAAGCAGTAATGTTTATCTTTAACTTTTATGGCCAAATGCAAAACTATAAGTTTTAGAATTTACAGCTGCATTCCTAGAACTATGCCACCAACGGTGGAAAAAAAAGGTCCTGTGATTCTGCGACCGGCAGCTCTCTCTCAACTCACAGTCTCAGGTGTGGTATGGGCATGGTGACGTCACGGAAGAATCGATGCACGAGAGCATTTTTTGCAGACAACCTTTTGTTCGGATCGTAGCTGAGCATCTCCTACAGACAAAAGAGAGATCGCAAAGATGAATTTTTTTGACATGGAAATGAGCTGCAAAATGCAAATCAGTGCTGAACTATTAATATGAAACTGCCAGAGCTCTTACTCCCAGCAACTCTCTCCCATCCTCATCCAGAAGAGGAACCACTTTGGATAGATCCTGCTGCGCCCATTTTGGGAAGGACGGTTTATAGTCCGGCAGTGAGGTGACTCCGGGCCAGATGGTCTCATCGGGCGTTCCTAAGGTGCGGAAGATTCTGAAGAGTTGATCGATCTCTGAGTCGCCGGGGAATAAAGCCCTCCTGGTGATCTGGACAGCAGTAAACAGTGAGGGCAGGTCGTGGCTGTGGCCAGTTATGGTCAGGACCAAAGAAACTAAACAGGATTTACCATCTCTGCAAAAATGCAGCCAAGACTCCAGATGTCAACAGCCGTGGAGTAGTATTTGCAGCCAAGGAGAATTTCTGGTGCCCTGTACCAAAGTGTTACCACCTGAAAGGGTCAAGTTAGAGAAATTCTAAATGTCTAATTTGATACTCCGGTGTTTGCTGCACCTTCAACAGAAACCTTCGAGGGGCTGAGTATGACGGCAGATTATCAGCTAATCCATCACATCACCGGAAAACAACGTCAGTATTTACTGCGTACCTCGTGTGTGTACGTGCGAACAGGTACTCCGAAGGCTCTCGCTAGGCCGAAGTCGGCGAGTTTGATCTCTCCCTGAGTGTTGATGAGGAGGTTCTGTGGCTTGAGGTCCCGATGCAGGACCCTGTGGGAGTGACAGAAGGCCAGGCCCTGCAGCAACTGGAACAGATAACTCTACAAACACAGACGGAAAAACACCAATGAGGGACGGCACAATGGAAGACTTCGTCCTTGTCTACTTTAAATTTCAAGCGTTATTTGTCTTAAATTTGGACGAGATGAAAATACTTTTTTCGCTCTGCATGATCACTCTGGTCAAAATACCACCGCACATTCATGTCAGTGTGAATGTTTTGGACACTTTTGTTATTTTAAAAAATATTTCAGACTTTTTAAAAAATAAATAAATAAATAAATAAAAACTGCATGTTGCTGGAGTATTTCAGTGTCAGTAAAGCAGCTGACGGTTACCTTCACCAGAGGCAGAGGGATACCAGTGACTGAGGAAGAGTCCATGAACTTCTTCAGATCCTGTTGAAGAAATTCAAATACAAGGTAGAGTTTGTTCTCCGTATGGATGACGTCCCTCAATCTGAAAGGCAATAACAGACAGGTTTACCAAAAGACAAGCATCGGGTCAGTGGGTAACGTTAAGGTAACGTACGAGGACTTACTTGACGATGTTTGGATGACTGAGTTCTTTGAGGAGAGAAATTTCTCGTATGGCAGTGCTGGGCACACCTTCTGTTTCCCTGGATAAAAACAAAGTTATGTTTAATTCAGTTTATTGGTTTTATTTGGAGAGACAAAATAAAGAATTTTTTGTGATAATTATTCACAGAGAAGTTAGTTTTTGAAGCAGGCTTTACTGAAAGATCCCAGTAAAAAAGACAAAGGTGGGATTTCATTTATAGCCCTTTCATCTCCCCTGTACAGTGTGGGAATTTTAGCACCCTATAAATGGTAGGGGGAAAATCTCCACCTCTGACAGGACTTCAGAAGCAGGACCCCAGTCATAAAATCAAAACAGTCCCTTCTTTGTGTATCAACTTTCAGGATGATAAAACCATTGATTTTACAGAAACTGATCTTTGTTACTGTATCTTCTGAGGTATGAGAGGTGGTTGATGTTCTTATGAGCACCTTTAGTGACCACATCTGATTTTGAAGTATGTGATATAGAAATGGGGAAAACACACAGGGGTTAACATCCCTACAAATATTCCATTAAACACTTTAAGTTAAGTAAAGGGGATTGCCAGAATAACTTATATTTGTTTAAGTTCTTTTAATTTTTTTTTTAATCAAGGCAAATTTAACTTCACCTCTTCCCGGTAGAGATTCCCTCTTTTGTCTACACATCTGTTGTACAAGCGTCAAAACAAAGACTTTGACTGAAACCTGGTGAATGCATACATTTAAACTAAATGAGTGAAATGTTATCTTAAAGGGAATGTAACGTGTGGGTTTTTTCCAGTAGCCAGGCAGCCGATTTATGATCAGTATCCTTTAAAATAGTATGTTGGCTGATGAACAACAAAGTGTGTATTCACTTACGTATCCAGTCGGATTTTCTTTAGAGCCACAGTTTCTCCGGTCACTTTGTTTTTGGCTTTGTAAACGACTCCGTACGTCCCTTCCCCTATCTTCTCTACCTTTTGAAACGAATCCATATTTGACCAGTAAACTTTCTTTTAGCCAGTTAGCAGCCTTCCCTTCTTTGTGTGTGTATACAGCTAACAGCCCCTCCGTTGTTACAGAAACTGAGGAGCATGGAGAGGCTTCTCAACGAGCTCCGAAGGCACTGCAGTCCAGGGATAGAGCTCTCCTTTTGACTAGAATTAAAGTAAAAATTTCTATAAGGTATGGAGGATACCATTAGTAAATTTACGATAATGTGCTCAAGAATTAGCACGGCAACTGCTTCTGATGTGGAAAATACTAAACCAACACAGCACTGTTTCCCGCGTTAGCCTGGGAGCGTTTGTTTTTTACCTCAACACACCGCAAAACGCAACGCGGATGGTTTTCTGAGTAAATGTAATTCCTGCTCCTCTACGTCTCGGGCAATACGTGTTTGTGTTTGGTGATCTGCAGGTTAGTTAACGGCTTTTCAGATACACTACCGGTCATACCGTCATACATTTTCTTCATGAAAAAGTTAAGTGCCAAAGTATGTTCAAGTCGGTTCTGACAGGAACACTAAACAAACGACCCGAAAGTCACGTGGTCACATGACGCTTTACGTTGTGAACGTCGGGGGCGGACATTATGCTGTAAAGATTCTGTTAACAAATACTGTAGATCAGGGGTCACCAACGTGGTGTCCGTGGGTATCTGGTAGCCCTCGTGGAACACCTAAGGTGTCCACGGGGTATGTTCTAAAAATGGAACTAGTCAACAAGAGGGTCAGAATTCGTACTGTTACTGTCATACCGCACACACTGTTACTGTGCTTTTTGAATGATATTCAAATGGGTGCAATGACAATGGTAAGAAGAGTCTCTACTATTGTATTTCCAAGAACATATTATTATTACATTGTTTGGGAAGTCTCTATCAAAAAAGTAGCTGTTATTACTAAGTGTCCGTGAAGTAGCTCTCAGTTTCAAAAAGGTTTGTGACCCCTGTTGTAGATATTTGTTGAGTTTTCCTTTCCTGTTTTCTACAGAAGGAAGCAGGCAGACAACACTGCAAAATAAAACAGCAAGAGTTCTCTTCATGATGGTAAAAGTTAACACCGCCACCAAGTGGCAGTGCTGTATATTGTGCACCACACCTCGAATTAAAACGTTAAATATTTAACATAGCCCGTGTCAAACAGTTAGAGTGGTACAGTATTAAATGTTAAAAAGAATATCCAGCATAAAATTTTGATACGTTTTTATTTAGGATTATTCTCATTAAAAATTTCTGAAAAGGAATTTCAATTTCATTTAGTTTTTAGCACTGACTAAGTGGAATAATGACAAATATTTAAGGCTGTTCTAACTGTATTCATACAGTAAGCTGACTTAAGTGTTTTGGTATTGTCATTGTTGCGCTCTAGCCCAACTGTGGTCTCTAAAAGTATGTAAACTTTGTCTTGTCTTTATTATGGAAATGACTATGACAAAGAATGTGAGCTAATGTAAAAACACCAAAATGAGCTCTTAAAATAATCCTCTAAACCATGGTAAGAACGTGGTGGGGCGGATTTATTGCCTCCTGAACTGTGCTGTGAGCACATGAGAGGTCACACATACTGTAGTGCAGTGTATTCAGCCTCACCGACGTGAGTAACAACACAGCCCATAATTGGGCAGGTCTAATGTTAGTTTCTTATGGCTATTGTAAACGTTGTTAGTTTAACCACTTGAATAGAAGGCATTATAACCTAAGCTAAAAGTAATTTCTTAAATTTTCTTTTACTAATCAACCATTCTGTTTGTTAATAATGTCTTATTTAGAAATGAAATCCTACCCTTTTATGTAATATTTTTAATAATGTGGAATTAATAGACTATCAATGTTGCAAGTGTAATCCAGGTAGTTTCAAATATATATATATTATTTGGAATACAAGTATTTTGAAAAGAACGACACTGTGCGAGACCCTCTCATAACAAACGATGATGAAGGTGCATTTATTCACCTCTTCCGTTGATGTCACTAAAAGATTTCATTCTTGTTGAAATGGGTATTCGTTTTGCGACCACTTTCGGATTCTGCTCATTCTCTCCTGAGTTTGAGGAGCACGTTAATCATGGCGTGGCTTCTTGCGTCCGTCCTGCCACAAAGACAAATTCTCAGAGCTGCTGTAGCCTGAGGTGAACAGCAGGATCCAGAAGAAACAGCTGAGGAGCTGAATGAATACCATTGATCCTCCCTCCACACACTCATCTTGTGATGCCCATGCACACATAGCTGTGAGGTCAAACGTCAACCAACTGCATGACTGCAGCTATGCTTTCCCACCATCCTCCGATCCTTAATCGTGTCAAATGAGGCAGAAAGAATTCTGGATTTTCCAGCAGAATACCTGGCTACAGATTCAGTAATGAATTACAGCGCCTTTTTTTGGGTTGTTCGCATCATGAAACATCAAATCACACACCCACGTAATGTCAAGGTAGTTGTTCTGGCTGTGATTGGACCGTATCATATAAGCAGGTACACGAAGAGAATCATTTACAGCTCCGTCAATATTGAATATATCTTAAATAAGTTTATTGTTATATTAAATCCATTGGAATGGGAACAACCAATCGCTCTGTAAATTACAATGAAATCACTCTTCAAAGGGGCGGGGCCTTTTGACAGACTCACAGTGATGTCAGAGGTGAGAAGAATTTTTTTATGGTAATTCACTTCTCATGGCCTCTTAAAAAGAGGGGCGAGATATTCACTTAATCTCTCTGGGAGTTGTGCTGGGGCTCAGGACGTTCGGGTGAGGCTCAGGGATCACAGTCTAAAGACAGACACACACACAGACAGGATGAGGACTCAGGCCCTGGTGCTGCTGGTTTTGGCTTTTACATCAGCCAGCGCTATACGTGAGTATTACAGTGGACCGCCAGTGTCGTGTTGATGGTCTGGGTTTAATGTTTTTATTTTGGTGAACTGTTTGATGTGTTTTCATTCTGCCACTGAACTGCTGTCGTTGATGATTAATCATTCAGGAGCTAAGTTTTAAATTACTCTGTCGCTGATCAATCATTCAGGAGCTAAGTTTTAAATTAAATATTTTCATTGCGTATATTTACATATATATATATATATATATATATACGTGTGGTTGAAATAAATTTATTCAAATGTGATACTACTAAAACAACAAAAAGGTTTAGTACCAAATACTGAAGTAAAATGTTAAAAAGATTTAAAGGTTATTGTTTAATTGAGTTGAGGGTCGTTTGTCAAATGTGTGTTTCCTCTTCGATTACATGGTTCATTTTTGTATTTGTTTAAGGCACAAATTGGAGAGTGTTCTGTAATTTACTGCTTATTTCACGCTGACACACAAACTTTAACACGCCAATTTTACACACTACATCACTGATTCACTTTCTTAATCGTTCGTGTTTGTCATGGTTTGCCTGATCGATCATTTAACTGTGTTATTAATCAAATACTTTTGATTTTTTTAATTACATTTTCAAACACACTTCACACACAGAAAGGAGAAAAAAAAACGCAAAACTCCACTTTGTCTGGAATCTTTCATTCCATTTGTTGGGATTACTGATTCATCTGCTCAACTGATAGTCACATGAAAGGGATTGAGGGAGATTGCAGGTCATGTGACTCTCACTCCCAAGAACCTTAGTGTTTCAGGGGCCCTGCTAAAAGCCGAAGCTCACGTTTCTTTTACATAACTATAAAGATGAATCAACACCGAAGCTGCCCTCAATGTTATTTATCCAGAAGTAAAACAAAATAAAAATAAAAAACTCTATGATACATATTTTGATTCCCTTCATTCCCTTTGAAAGATTCCACATTTTCGTAGGATTAGAAATGACAGTATTTAGTGTTTTTGAGTCTTTCATTTTTTTTCATTTTATCCTTGCAGAACGCAGAAGCCAGTTCACGCGGTACCGTTCATGGAACTCCAGGATGTATCCTGTCTGGAAGGATGGAGACCCCCGGTTTAGAAACTGTTGGATGGGTGAGTTTTAGTTTTCAGGTATAAAAAAAACCCCCATGTTTTTGAATGAATGTAATGATACGAAATTTAAAAATAAAAACTGTATGTTGTTTGTGATCGTTGTTTCCAGGTGGTGAAGTAACATTTGATCTAAAAAATGATGCCCCTACTCTGACCGGAGGCAGAACCACCTTCACCATTAACCTCAACTTCCCACCAAATCAGACAGTGCTCTCTGACGGACAGGTGGTCTGGGCACGGAACTGCACCGTTGATGGTAGGACAACGCTCACACAGCAGTTTCTCCTCTCTTTCTCTGTGTGTGTTTATATAAAGGCATTTAGATGAGTGTGTGCTAGCATCAGATTATCATATTATTGTATTTCCTTTAGATATATGCTATATGTTGTACTTATATTTGGCCTAAAAACCTTGTCCATTACCAGCTACATCAGCTAACTGTGATATTGTCTGTATGTTTTAAATAAATAAATAGTTAAATGAATAAATAAATAATAATTCATTTGTCGACAGTGAATCAACGTTTGTCAATTCTTCTGACTTATAGGAACAAAATTGTTAAAAAAAACACTGTACATTTCATAAAAGTAAAATTCACAAATATATCCTTCATTCATCATTTTTCTTCTCAGCAAATGTTGATGTAGTTATGAGTAAATGTCCTGCTGCAGTAGAACCCATTTGTAACGCTCCCATTTTCTCCTTTGAATCCATTGAACAGGACAACAGTATCAGCAGGGTCAGCCTGTGTATTCCGACCGGAACACTACACTGACAGGACTGTTCCCCGATGGCACACCCTTCACTGGGACCCAGGACAAGAAGCCTCACTATGTATATGTGTGGAAAACATGGGGTAAAGAGAATTTAATGTTTCATTTTGCAGCAGTTTGTTACTCTGATAAATGTCACAAATATGTATTTGTTCATGAAAATTAAATTAGATAGAACTTTAGGAGTTCCCTTTGGGAAATTAATAATAAATGGCAACTTTCAGGATGAAATGCAACAGGAGCTTAAAAGTGTCTTTAGTCAGAGTCAGAGAATTTTTTTGTTTATTCCACATTTTATAAGTTACAGAATTGTTGCACTTTTTTTCTAGGCCGTTACTGGCAGGTGGCAGATGGTCCGTCCTCCTCCCTCACCATTGGCACAGACAACACCCCCTTGGGCTCCTACAACATGGAGGTTGTCATCTACCACTGCCGTGGCAAAAACAAGTTCATTCCTCTTGGCTACGCCTCCTCAGTCTTTGCTGTTACAGGTATATTGTTTAAAAAAAAGTTTAAGCCCCAGCCCCCAATTTGACCGTTTCTTTCAAAACACCTGACCATCTCTTCCTCTGTCATCAGACCAGGTTCCTTTCACCGTATCACTCAGCCAAGTCAATGATATCAACCAGGACGACCAGAACTTCATCCAAAACCGAGCCATCGCGTTCAGTGTCAACCTTCACGATCCCAGTCAGTACCTGAGCAGCGCTGACATCAGCTTCAGCTGGGACTTTGGAGACAGCTCTGGTACACTCATCTCCAGAGAGCGCACTGTCACTCACACGTTCGTTTCTGTTGGGACCTTCAAACCTCAGGTGGTCCTGATGGCCAGCATTCCCAGCGGATGTGTGAACCCCACTGCCGGTGAGTTTTGATCGTTGTTTGTTTTAATCTAGAATACCAGTACTCTTTATTTACTCGAGTCATTTCAGAGTCAAAGATACAGTTTTTTTTTTACAGTTTTCAACCTTTCTTCATAGTTTTAAAGTAACATAAACCCTGCAAGAAGCAGTGTAAATATAAGAAACAGCAATCTGATTTTTCCATTACTATATTCAGTAGCACCCATTGATGGCGCTGCTGTTCCAGTCGTACCAGCTGAAGCAGGAGATGCCATTGCTTTGGATGTTCCTGCTACCGATGCCACCGCACTTGCTGCTTCTGTGCAGCCGGACAACACAGCCACAGATGTAGACGACGTAGAAGGAGCAGTTGATACAGACGCAGGAGCAGTGGAGGTGCAGGTCGCCTCGGTGGCACCTGCAGCAGTAGATGCAGCTGTCGTTCCAGAGGAACAAGATCCTGCGAACACTGCTGCAGAAGCAGAGGTAGAAGCTGCTGCTGTTG